GTAATAGTGAGAGCGCCACCTAGTGGTGAAAGGAAATGTATTTTTTTTCTTTTATATATATCTCCCAGCAGATTGCCCAGATCCAGCTGAAATTCGTTCAGCAGTCCCTTAGGACGATGACGATGACATGTCATGAATCTTAAGAATTCAAACCTTGTTGCCATGGTGACGTGGCGAAAACGTGTTACACCGGCACGTGACGCGGCCGCAGCACACGCTGACACGCACCGGCTGCGAGGTCCCATTCAATGCTGCTTGCAGCTTTAATTGATTGGTCTGTTTGTTGTGATTATATGACTCAGTTTGAGTGTTCTAATTTTACTACAAAGTTACAGTAAGGAGAGAGCGATTTATAAAGACATCTTTAAGTTAACTTGATATAAAATTAGTCATTAAATTCTTTTCTTAAAGCGTTGCAGAGGTATATAATTGTCAAGCATATACACCAGAAAAATTCTAATAACTTTAATGTAACTGAATGTAACTGTAACTGTGTACCTTCTGTGTCTGGGAAAATACACGTATCGGATCAGGACTCAGTAATGATACTCAGTGTGAAATGACTTGGGAAAAAATTCAAGATTTTCCATGTAATTATTGATATAAAATACAAGAAGCATTAAAATGTATAAAAAGTGGTGTGTTGTAGTTGGGGAGTGTAGTAATGTATCTCGGTATTCATTTTGAGTGACTTGGTCACATTGCAGATATCTGTAGTAATTTATTGATGGTCCCAAAATGAAACCCCTGTTGAATATTAACTTCAAACTAACTTCACTTTAGTGGCTAACAGAGTTTGAGTCTGTGTGATTTCACGTGATTTTGAGAGATTTCCTTTAAACTAAAGACTGAGTCTTTTATTTTGGAAGGATCTACCTGGAGTGTAAAGTAACTAAATACATTTACTCCAGTAGACTACTGTCCATGAGTACAACTTTAAAGTATTTGTACTCTCCCATTTTCTATGTCTCAGAGAGAGATATTTTACTTTTTACTACATTTTGTTACTTTTCAGAATAAAATTTTAAATAAAAAATAATTCTATATCAATATTCTCAAATGTATTTATTATTTTGTTTGTTACAATACTTCATACTTGTACTTTACTACATCTCAGAGAGGAATAGTGTACTTTATATTTCACTACATGTATATGACAGCTTGTTACTTTGCAGATTCAGTCAAATATGAAGTAATATTATAGATGAAAGTATCCAGCAGTGTATAAAGTACTTCCAATCAACTTCAACCTTTTGTACTGTAAGTAAAAGTTTGAGTATTAGCAGTATTTTCTCAGTGTGCTACTAATAGTTGGGAGTACTTGTACCACTACTACCTTGCTCTGGTACACAGGTCTGCTGCACTTCACTGTTCACCTTCTGTGTTAACAATAAAGTTTTATTTAAAAAAAGATTGCAGCCGTTGGCCATGTCAGTGAATTATCATGTGGCATTCAAGGCAAGTGGAAAGTTGTTGAAGTGTTGAGTCCCTTGTGCTGCGTTCATGAGACACAGTGAACCAGATCGAGTTATGAAGCAGTTTTCAATTTTAACATTGAGTCTTTTCCAGGAAACAAACTATTGATCATGTTTTGATGTTTTCTAACAGTTTCTTCAGTTTGAGCCCAGAAGCTTCAGT